TGATATCTAGTACAGGGTCTACAGGGTCTAGAGGGTCTCACTACGTAGATCAGACTCCTAGTGATTCTCCTGTTTTGAGCCTCCCAAGTACTGGGATTACAGGCACAGGCCACCACGCCCAGTTTCAATCGCCATCTCAGTGAGCCCTGCAGGCAGACTGGCATGGCATGCTGGGGATCGAATCCCAGCTGCTGTCAACCCCATTTTTGATTTCCTTTTAGTTTCTCATGAACTTTAAAGTTTATTGATGTTTACTTTGCAATTTCTCTTCCAAGTTCTCAGCATCTTAAAATTCTGCCCAGACATGGACAATTTTTTTTTTTTTTTTTTTTTTTTTTTTTTGTGGTACCAGGGATTGAACTCTGGACCCTGCACTTGGCAGGCAGGCACTTACTCCATTGAGCGATCTCCTTAGCCCTTGACAAATTTTATTTATTCATTAAAATAACCTTAATAAATTATTTCACTTACTTCAGGGTTTCTCTTCTTGCAATATTTGTCCTAAATCTTTTCAGCTTGAAAACTATAGTAGACATTTGCTAGGGATACTGGAATACAACTGCCTAGAATCTACATGTCTTTCTTAACTGGAGGAATTCAAAACTATGTGGATCCAGGGCTGCCTCAGGGGTGTGCTCAGGGGCGATCTCTGGCAGTGTTGTTTAGTAAGTATAAACACTGATCTAAGCTCTGATGCTACAATTCAGGATTTTGAACATAGAAGGAATAATGCAAAGACACAGGAGGCGCAAGATTGAAAGATTTCTTTGGATGGAGTAGTAGAAAGGTTGAAAGTGCAGATGTGTGGGAATGGGCGTCCTCTAACAGTGATAGCGTGGAGCCAGCAAGTATGCAATGGTGGCAGTGCCAGAGATCCAGGGGTGGCAGTGCCAGGATCACTGTTCTTATTTTGGTGGTTGGATCTTAATATATTTTGCTGCCCATCCTTCTTTTGTTCCTGGATGGGTTTTGACCTTGGTGTTTTGAACTTTCCATTGATTCTAAGAGTGCCCCTACAACTGTTCCCATAAGTTATTTCTTCTGCTTGAGTTATCCAGAGTTGGTTTCTATTATCTGGAAAAGAACCTTGAGTGGCATAGAGAAGCAGTGTTGGGAAGTGGCTTCAGACAATAGAATTTTAAAGAAATGGATGAGAAAGAGAGAGAGAGCGAGAAGCTAAGATTGGCTGGCTGGTTATTTAGAAGAACAGTAACAAATCTGTTAGCATATAAGGGTAATATTTTCATGACATACGAAGGAAAAAAGTAAAAAATTAATTATTACCTGGATCACTGTGCATTGAAAGCAACTATTATCTCCCACAAACCATAAGAAAATCAAAAGAAACCCAAGCACTTTTTTTATTGATTCCAATCTACTCGCATAAAAATAAATGACAAGGTTATGTGCTCAAATTCTCAGATCATAATGTAGATCAACACCTTGGGTCTTTCTAAGACTGTTCTAAAAGAATCTTGTTTCTTGCAGATTTGAGGCAGAGATAACTAGAAGCCAAATTCTATGAGTTGCCAAATTACAAAGCCAGCTGAATCCAGACCTCACCAGGTCTCATGTGGAAGTTAGGCCCTCAATCAGATAAGTGTTTTATCTCAAGAACTGGAATGGCAGCATAGGCAAATAGCTGAAGAACTCAGGGAACTCTGTAGCCCTGGAGCTCACTAAATCTCTGTCATCAGCAAAAACAAAATCTCTCTGATGTCTAATGAGGCTATTGTTGCTTTACATAAAGGTGCACCAAAGGGACTTGGTCTTGCTATGTTGCAGAAGGAAGCCAATTATCCTCATCCTCCACTGTCCTTCCTGCTCATTATCTTCAAATACATAACTAGACCTATGGACCAGAATGCCAAGGGGCCAATTATAAAGCATAACTTAAGAGGTCATAATCAGCACACATTGTGGAAAAGATGTACAGACACATGCATGCAGATTCGTTAATTTATCCCAATGCGGGAGAACACATGGGAATGGATTTTCTTGGGAGGAAAAAAGCCAAAATTTTAGATTTTGGCTGAATTTATCAGCATATTTTCCCTCCTGAAATGTATAGATTTAACATACTGACTCAAGTATCTGGGAGTGCTTCTAAATATTTTTTGGATTAGTTACCTGAAACCTAGTCAAAGAAGTGGCCAATACAGATCAAGCTGAGATGCAGTGTGGTGTAATACTGAGGAGGGAGTTCAAGGATAATGGAAATAGGAAGATTAGAGGACATTCTTATGTTTTGTTCTTTTTCCCCAGGGTGGCCCAGAAAATGCTGGTGAAGGAAATTGTCAGAATCTTTGAGAATGCCTTAGTGACTATCTAAGAGGCAAGAAATGCCCTGTGGAAGATGTAGTACACCCCAAATGCTCCTTATTTCCACAACAATGGGCAGATCCTAGCAGAAGTGAACTGCTGGCACTTAGCTGTGAGCAGTATGGGGCACTGTTGTCCATCTTAGGCAGCAAAGCCTGTAGGATTATTAGAAGCTTCTCGTCTTTTTCTTTTTTTGATCATAGCACCTTAGTACCAAGATCAATAATTAGCCACAAAACGCTATTTGACTTTGAAATAGTTTTTTTTTTTTTTTTTTTAAATAAGAAAAATGTAAAACTCAGTTCCGGGTCTACTGAAAAAAAGAAAACCTGACTTTAGTCACTCTCATATGAGACCCCAGGCCCTAGGAATAAAGGGAAGGTGTGGACACTGAGGCACAGCCCTGTAGTATCACAAGCACAGATTTCCTCAACCCTTTCCCAAAGAGGTGTGTGGCTGTTTACCAAAGAAACATGGAAAAGGGGAACAATTTTTAGCATTATTAGAAACTGATTTGGAGCTAATTTCTCAGAATGCTTAACACTGCCTGCCGTTGTCCACCAGGCAGAGCCTGATCAGGTCACAAGTAGAAATTTGACCAGAATCTACACAATAGTTCTGAAGGCCCCTGAGCTTAGCCCATCTCTACTTTTGTATAGAATTGAAATAGACACTCTCAGAGATCAGCATAAGTACAAAAACAGCCTCCTGCCCTGCAGAGCAGGCCTGCGTATAAACAGGTCCACGTGGAACTGTCTGCAATTCTATCTACCTGCCAAAAAACCCCAGTCAAAATAACATCACATCCCTGGGGACTCACTCCTATAGTTGCCACCATCAGAGGCTTGTTAGCTGCAAGATGGAGGGTTCTGTTAGACAATATTGCCCTTAACTATTTATTTTGGCTAGCATAGAAGATTGCTGGATCTTTGAAAACAGCAGGGGTTCTCAGTACCTGTGGATCACTGTAAGTTTTACTAAGGGATGTTCTCCGGATGGGGCCTTCCCCAGTACCTAGAAGATTGCAGTGATCACTAATTCTTGTTTTCTATGCCAGCAATTAGAAAACACCAGAGGATATGTTGTTTTCACCTGGAATAAAAATGACAGAACTACACCACCTTTGTTGGTTTTACATTTTCTGTCTCTGTGTCACACTTAAACACAGGAGACACTGCCTTTCAATCCCATTGGACATCATGTTAGTCTACAATATTGACACCATTGTGATGGTAGGATCTGAGGACCTAGAAGTGTCAAGTATCTCCAGTGCCTGGGTAAAACAGAAGAGTAAAAGGGGGAGGAAAAGCCTAAGAAAATTCAAGAGTCTGACATCTCAGAGAAGTTACTAGAGGCTCAGTAGACTCAGTCATATTAAGATAGTCCATAGAAAGTAAAGAGTGGGTAGTAGCATCCTTTCCCTGAGAGGGGCATTGTGCTTGCTGGGCCTCTGGACTTTCCAAGCGACACATGCTATATTTTGCTATGCTTCTCTAACTTGTTTATTGAGTAACTTGAAAGATGTCTCAGTTTTAAGTGGGGGACAGAGAAAGAAACTATTTTCCATGTTCCAGTAAATGTGATGGCCACATGGCTACAATACTCCAGTGAGTTCCAGTAGTGCTCGGATTCTCAGTGGCATACTGCATGACAGAATGCAGCTTTGGTAAGCCTGATGAAGACTTTCACTGTTGAGATCGTTTGCAGTTAGCAACTCATGACCTACCTTTTTGGGAAGCAACGGTTACCCTTGTAAGAAATGCTTCTTGGCCTGCTACAGAGACTTGAAAAAGTGAAATTGACCATGGTATCTTGAGCCATCCACCAGGAATTTGGAATCATCTGAGCCACAAGGCCATAAAGGTGGGTGTGGTTAGCAGAACTCTAGAAATCAGTGTGTATAAAAACAGGACTCAGCAGGTCCTGAAGGCACTGCTGTATGTGTAACTCACTGTATGTGGAAGGTTCCACTCACTTCCAGCATGTCAACTCCTGTTGCATTGTGGGTCCTTCCTCAGCCTACATAGCCTACATCTATGTCTCACACAGAGTTAACTCCAACCGGATCTACTAACAACCCTGCTCAGATTAGTTCTAAAGGACCGGATGAGAAGAATGGCTTTCCCGTGGACACAACTTCACACAGCATATCTCCCTCACAATTTTGTTCTGAAGAAGAAATACCTGAAGGTAAGAGTTAATAGTGGATCATGGGCAGAGCATAGTGTGTGTGTGGTGAGGGATTTACTTAGAATAAGACAGTTTAGGGGAAGAGGTATATTGGATGTTCTGTTGGCAAGAAATGATGTCATCACCATGGGCCAAGCCATTTGGAGGAATCATGTGGAATAATCTAATGGAATAAACTGAGTTAATCAGACTACTTGCTACAGAAGTCATTCAGGTTCCTTTTAAAACTCCCCAAAGCCTGTTCAATGGTGTTGAACCAAATGGCCATCCTCATGCTAGGGTTGCAGGCTGTGCATTATTAACTCAATCACAGGGAATTCCTGATACTAAGTTTTACCCAGGTTTTCTTCCTTGCTAGGACAAATACTTTTATTTATCTCTTTTAAGTAAACCCCTTCTAGTCACTGTCTTTCTCAAATCTACTGTTTCATGTATGGTATGTAGTTAAATTCTATTGTTTAATTTACAGGATGTAAATCTTGAGGCAAAATCATAATGAAATGGGAGCAATGGGCATCATTCTGAAATCTTAAGACTTGGAACTGAATTCAAGAACTTATGGGCTTAGGATTTCCTCCCTTTGAAAAGGTATAAGTCTTTTTTTTTTTTTTTTTTTTTTTTGGAACCAGGGATTGGACTCAGACCCTTGCACTTGCCAGGCAAGCTCTTATTCTACTGAGCTGTCTCCCCGGCCCCATAAGTCTGTTTTTAATTGTGGGAGAAACTTTGTTATTATACTAAGCAAGAGAAGTTTTTTTTCTTGAAAATTTTGGAAGAAAGGTAAATGTAGCTTTGGGGTAATTGGGGTAATTGTGCAAGTGTATCTTTCGCCTACTTAGGACCCAAGCCTTTTTATTTTCGAGGAATCCATTTTCCTACTATGAAAACCAAATGGAGGGCTGGCGGTATAGCTTAGCGGATCAAGTGCTTGCTTAGGTAAACTCAGGAGCCAGGGTTCAATCCCTGGCTGTTTGCTGCCGGCCCTTCCTCCTGGTGCACTGAGCCGGCGATGGAGTCCAGGCGGAGTCCAGCACTTGGGAGGCAGAAATCAAGAAGATCGCTACTAAGGTGGGCTGTGTAGTGAGACCCTGAACAAAAACAAAACAAAACAAACAACAGAAAGCAAATGGGAGCAAATCTCTTTCTTCCTTGGCTCTGGTCACAGCACGTGACCTAGCACAGCCAATCAGATGTCACTGCCAGGACTTTGACTTCTGAGGCAGTCGTGAGAAGATTCACAATCTGTTTGTAGTGACAGCATTTGAGTCAGGAGTCCACAAGTGCAGTAGCAGTGCTAACTGCAACAGGAGCAGGAGGCATGATATTTGGCCCAATGGTTGTGACAAGAAATGACCGCAGCCTAAGCAGACAGTTTGGGACATATTCCCGGCTATCTAACATCCTTTGATTTATGTCTTAGATTTTTTTTAAAAATCATTTTAAATTCTTTGTTTTTGTTTTGTTTGTTTTGAGATGAGGTTTCAGTGTAAGGCTCCGGCTGGCTGTGAACTTGCAGTGATCCTCCTGCCTCAGCCTCCCAACTGTTGGGATTACTGTCATGTCCCACCACACTTTTATTTTTAACACAGTATATCCTTACAGTAAGCTCTTTTTTCTTCAATACTTAACCAGAGCTGGTTTCTATTCTAACATGGAGCCCTGGGCAGTGTAAAACCAACTCTCCTCAATGGAGAAAGGGTGCTAGACCCTTGATGCATCCAAGAGCCTCCTGACAGTGGCACTGTCAGGGCGGAGACTCTCCCAGGCTTCTTAGTGCCCTTAGAAATCTCTGTGTCATGACTGCAATACATTTTCAGATCTTTTTCTTTTCTTTTCTTTTTTTTCATTTTCAGATTTTTTTGATACTCGCTTTCCTGAAGTCTATTCATTTACTTTGCCCAACATACCCTTCCTTGGTTATTCTAAGCTGATATTATCTCTTTAACTGTTTCTGGAATTTTCATAGCTACAATTAGCTGGTCAAATAGCTGGGCATGGGGGAGCATGTCTGTAATCCCAGTACTTGGGAGGCTGAGGCAGGAAGATTTCTATAAATATGAAGCCAGCCTGAGCTGCATAGTGAAACCCTGTCTCCAAAACAAAATAAGTTGGCCAGAAATGTTTTCAAAGACTATATTCCTTGTGTTTCTTTTATCTGTTGAAGAAATAAAAGTGTTAATAAGGCAAGTAGAGAACTCCTCATATGATTTGCTTTGAGGGACTCACATTCCTATATATCGAGATTCCTTTGTGCAAGTATTGCTTCACTCGAGAGATGATCAAAAGGTACACTAAGTGTAGTGGAATGTTTGAAAGGGAGCAGTTAGCAACGACAGAAATGACCAGACACTTGGGGAGGTATCACTAAGCAGATTCACAAGAAATGGATGTTACTAGAGAGCCATGTACAGTTGGAAATACAGAACAGAGGACTGGAGTGTTTTGACAGCTGGCTGTTCATATAGGCATATTGTGCTTTGGATCTGCCATGACCCCCTCCCCCCGGCCGCCCAAAGCCTGGTGTATTCAGAGGAAGGACTTGCGGAAGGTGATTGGATTATAAGTGGTACAGCTGACTTGCTGTTAGGAGGTAGCTCTTGGTCAGAGGAAGCAGGTGTGGTGGGGGTCTAACGGTTACTTCTGGTCATCTCCACTGCTGCTGACTGCTCCCTGAGGATACATCTGGAAGGGCCTTTCCTCCTCCCCCAGTTCATTCCGTTTCTCCCTCTTTCCTGACTGCCATGACATGAGCAGCTTTCTCCAAGGCAGTCCCTTCCACCACATGGCTTTCTGTTTGGAACCTGGCCATGGACTGAAACTTCTGAAGATGTGAGCCAAAACAAACTTCTCCTCTTTTAGGTTTATAGATGTCAGCTACTGTGTCTCAAAAATGAAAGATAGAAATATCAAAAGATAGCCAGACTGCGGTGAGCCAAAGGGACCTAGCAGGTTGATCGATGGTATTAAACCACAAGAGTCTGATGCACCTTTCTTCTCTATGGGAAGGGGGGGTCACTGAGGGAAGTGAGATTGTTGGGGCTGTTGATCAGGGATGCCCATCTCCTGGAGAGCTGGCATTTGGGGACCACTGCCAAAGTCAGGTTTCAGTCTGGCCATCTCCATTACTCCTACATACACTTTCTTTCTGAGTGGGTACAGCAGATAAAGAGAGAGAAGGGCTAGTACAGTTTGATCCCCCGAGACTGTGAGCACCCATAACCTCTCTGTCTTTCATCTTTCCCAAGGCCTGAGGCACCTTTGTAAATGACAATTTCCTCCTTAAATGCTTTTTTCTTCCATGCCATGGACATTATGGGCTGCTTGGTTCTTAGTCACCCTACTCAACAATTACACTCAGTTTGGTGCTAGTATTCATCTTTTCATTAGAGCATCTATCAGGTCCCTGTGTGGCATCTGTGGCTTGCACTGTCCCTGCTTCTTTCTGGAATTATCCCTGTTACCACCACCACCAAAGAGGGCTGGAGGGGCCAGGGAGATGGCTCAGTAGAATAAGTGCTGGCCTGGCAAGCGCAAAGGCCTGAGTTCAATCCCTGGTTCCACCAAAACAAAACAAAGAGGTCTGGGGAGCGTGCAGCAGCCTCCACCAGGTACCCACCAGTGTCTTCCAGTAATACAGTTCAGCGTTTCTTTCCATGGTCAGAGGTGGGCCCAGGCCTCTTTCTTCTCAGCAAGCCCTCTGGGGATACTGATACAAGTCAACAGGACCCCTTTGTGAAATACCCCTTCAGCTCTCAGAAGAGCTTCATTTCGTCTGTGGCTCATCTGTTGCCACATCCCAAATATTCCTATAATCCCAGTACTCTGGGAGGCTAAGGCAAGTTCAAGTCTAGCTTGGGTAACTTAGAGAACTCTTGTCTCAAAAAGAAAACAACTAAACTAAACTAAATGTACCTCACAGTAGCTTATCTCCTTGCAATCTGGTACGAGCCAGAAGAAAAAGAACAAAGCTCAAAGCTGGGAAGACAAACCTAGATTGAAATACTGCTTCTACCCTTTAATGTATGTTTAAAGCACACACAAAAAAACCCACAAAAAACTGGAATTGAACTCAGTGCCTTCCCAATTCCTTTTTTATTTTTTACTTTGAGACTAAGTTGCTCTGATGAAACTTGAGCTGCAATCCTCCTGCCTCAGTCTTCCTTAGTGCTGGGGTTATAGCTGTGTTCTACTCCTAGCTGGGATGTCTTAGAAACAACAACAGTGAGTTTCCTGCTAGGCATGAGTTTCCTGCTGTGTTGATGTCTGTCATCCCAGCTATTCAAGAATATTGCCTGAGCCCAGGAGTTGAAGGCCAGCCTGGGCAACATAGAGAGATTCTATCTTAAAAAAAAAAAAAAAAAAAAAAGCATCCTAATTCCAGTCTACATAGTTCATAGAGGCTTAGAGATAGAGTAAGAAGCTTCATTCAATTATTATGTCTTGAGTACTTATTATATGCCAGGCACTGAGTTTTGGGCTTGGAATATGCCTAATACCTAGTAGGAAATTGGTAAACATGAGTTTCCCCAACCCCAGCTCATAATTAACCTGAAGGTCACTGTGTGAGTTCTCTCTAGGCCTTGTACCTAGTCCAGCTGCTTCCTACCACTCTTAGATTCCTGAGAAATGACATAGGACACATTGCAAATGCAGTTCTCCTCTTGATCTACTCTGCTGCCAGTCTGTAAGTAGAAAACTCCCGTGTACCAAGCTAAGCAATGTAGAAACAGCTCCTCTCTCCTTTGCCTATGCAGCTGGGAGGCAGAGGAAGCCCTAAGTCGACAGCATGGAGTTTCCTGCCCCTTGGGCCTGATTAAGACCTCTAAATCTGAAAAGAGTCCCAAGCAGGAGGTGTGTGTGTGGTCTACTTTGGGTCACGATAAAGGCCACTTCCTGAGGGGAGGAGAAAGAGAATGCACAGGAACGCAGATGACCTTTGTAATCATTTCTTACTCCTTTCTGGAAAGATTAGGAGGGGGAGAGACTGTTGTACAGACCTG